TTCTGAGTCTCCAAAAATAAATCCGTGCTCCAGTCACTACGCAGCAGTAGTGACAGCTTTGTTTATTTGCCGAGGCGTGACTCTCGACTTTGAGCGCCATCTAAGGTACCATTATGATATGCAGTTTCCTAGCGAAGATAATTNCCACGAATTAGGTCGGCGTCCGATTTCCACGATCAAACCACCAAAATGACCGCACGTTCAAGGCGGTCAAAAACGTTCCGCGACCGAAAGGTCTCGATCGGCAGTCTTTGCCGCCAAAATCGCCGAAACGTTCTGAGTCTCCAAAAATAAATCCGTGCTCCAGTCACTACGCAGCAGTAGTGACAGCTTTGTTTATTTGCCGAGGCGTGACTCTCGACTTTGAGCGCCATCTAAGGTACCATTATGATATGCAGTTTCCTAGCGAAGATAATTTATAGTTTCCTGGCCTTGTCATGCGCGAAACTTGTTTTGGTGACTTGCTGCCCTGGCATAGTTTGAGTCTCATCTACACCACTGCTGGTGGTGTAGTGGCGCCAAGCTGCAAAGCACATTCGGCGTCCAGCAACAACAGATGTACATCCAGCCAGCCGTAGTAGAGTCCTCACCGTGCGGGAGAGCAAACCATCTGCGACAGGCACATCAGTGCTCACAAACCCCCATCTCTATCTCGCACGCGGTCTCTGCCTTCCTCGCAGGGATGCAGCAAGACGGTAGACAGACGATGTTGTAGTATCTACAGGTAGACGTCTATGTATGCTTGTTTGTTCCTCCCAATCTTAGGTTGTGCGTGCTGCAGTTCTTGCAGGCTTCGCTCGTCTGCAAGGGGTACGCGCCCCGGCACCGGTTGGATGCGGTACGCGCCTGGCTTCACCGACAGACGAGCGCGGGCGTTGTGCGTGCGGAGTTATTCAAAAAGTGGTTCTGTAGAGTGGGGTTCAGGAGGCGTTTCTTACATGCGCCATGCTCTAGTTCGTCTGCACAGGTGCAATTTTTCCGGGCGTTCGTTCGTTTGGAGGGAACCACTGCTGTCCACTTGCAAGGTGTCTCGCAGCTGACCTAGTACTGCACATGAGCGTCAACCGCCCCAACACCGTCAAAGAAGACCTATGATGATGTCTCCTCTCCTCGAGTTCCGAGCTCCGAGCATCGGTGGACCATCTCACTCATCCTTCTTTCGTTCGTCCGCGTTGAATTATTTGTCTTCGCTCTAGAGGTAGGTTGAGTCTCAACACACCTCAGCAAATAGTCTAGAGGTTTCACGCCTCGCGCAGTCGCGGACCCTAATCTATAGCAAGACCCAGGACGGAGGTTGCAATACATCGCTTGTTTGCATCCGCTGATGCCTCTGCCCGTTCGTCTAGCACTGACTGGTCGATATCGAACACTCTATGGTAAGTACTCATTTCGAGAGACGTTTGGAAATATATTTTTGTTCACTACAGCAGTGCCGGAAAGTGTGAGACCGATTTTGGTTGACCGGCCATAACTTCACGAGTTTTTCACATTTTTGAGTTGTGTTTTTAGTAGTGTTGTGTGTGTGTTGTAATTTCGTGCTATTTATCATGGCGACAGTGCCCCCATTTTTCGTGGTGAGACGTGTACTACACTTCTCAGCGGATGTAGAGTACTATACGTTTCAGTGTATTTTTTCGTACAACTACAACCATCCAGGGTCACACAGGAGAGGGTAAACATCAGGGCTTTTCCCTTCTTTTTATTATTTATTTTCATGCCCCACCTTCCTCCTGCGGTGCGTGCTGAAAGTTATTATTTCGCGAGAAGGGTTCAGCCGTCCCTTTCCCTCGTCAACGGTGCTAACGTCGAAGTTTGGTACTCACGAGAGCTTTTCAGCTATGTTTCGCTTTCACCCGCACATTTCGTAAATTTTTCACCCCATGGGGATTCGAAACTCACGACCTCTGCGCCTAGCGGATTACGAGGATACCACTAGACCACCGGGGCGACAGGTAGTGATCTACATCCTATTTGCCACAAGAGTTGTTCAGGGACCAAATCGATTTGATTTAGGCGTTCCTGCAGTTTCGTGGCAACCGTAATAGGATTTTTAAGTAAGGCATTTCCGAGGAGGAGGGGATATAACTTTTGATCAAATATTTCGGCAACCAACCGCGAACTCAAAACACCCTGTAGTACCTCATTTTTTTTTTCATCGTGTCGGCGGGGCTTGAGTAGAGAAGAACGAAGATACTCATGAAAAAAAAAAAAAATACATCTTGATATTTTTTTTTCTCTCATCATTGGACTCTGTCGTCTGCCCCTCTGGCCCCTATCCTCCACTTCTACCAGCTAGACGACCCAACTTGGGTCACATAGGGGCTGACGTGGGCGAAAAATTTGAAATGTTGGTTCTGATTTCTTTTAAGTTCTTTACCACGCTCGGGGACGATTCCGCCGCAGTAAAATACTTCTGAAAGGTAGCTTTTCAAATCTGCAATTTTTTTCGCGGGGTTCGCCGTAGTAGTTGTTGAGATATGGCGATTCTTGTGGGATGAAGTGCCTTCTGCATTGATGGTAATGGAGCCATATATATCTTTCTCTAAAACGAAACCCCGCGCTGTGGATAGTCTTATTCGATCGCTGCTGGCGAGAGCTTTCTCACAAATATTTTGGTTCCGCTCAATTCGTTGAAGAAAGTTGTTTTTCAAAGCACCCGTATTCGGGCTCACACTTTCCGGCAATGTACCTGTGTGTGTACCTGTGTGTGTGTTTTCGTCCTATTTGTCATGGCGACAGTCCCCCCATTTTTCGTGGTGAGACGTGTACTACAATTTTCAGCGAATGTAGAGTACTACACTTTTCAGTGCATTTTTTCGTACGAATACAACCCTCCAGGGTCACGCAGGAGGGGGCTTTTTTCTCTTTTTATTTCTTTTCATGCCCCACCTTCCTCCTGCGGTGCGTGCTGAATTTTATTTTTCTCGCGAAAAGGGTCCAACCGTCCCTTTCCCTCGTCAACGGTACGAACGTCGAAGTTCGGTACTCGCGAGAGCTTTTCAGCTACATTTCGCTTTCACTCGCAAAGTTTGCAAATTTTTCGCCCCATGGGGATTCGAACTCACGACCTCTACGACTAGCGGATTACGAGGATATGTACTCCTTATTTTTGCGATCCTGCTGTCTGGGGTACACAGCAGTACAGACCGTAATGAAGTGACGCCCGTGCGCCTTTCGTGTCTCCGAAGCAACCGCTGATTGGACACCAAAATAGATGTATGCATAAAGGCTAGGGAAGATTGTTATGGACGGTCGCATCCATCCCCAGTCTCGCGCAAGGTCACGAACAGGTAAATAGAGCTGAAACTCGAGACCTGAGAGAGCGGCGGGGTAACTAGCCACCTCTCGAATCGAGAGGACTACTTGGCCACCCTGGCTAGAGCTCCCAAAGTACTACCCTCCAAAAGACGAGACGAGTCAATGAGGAGCAACTATGCTGAAAACAAATGAGACAAGTCGCCAACATCAAAATGTATCCGGCGGAGTTCTGTATCAGCAGATGGTTGGGAGTCTACAGAGAACATGGTTCCTTTCTTTCACAAATTATCGTCCACCACATGGTAAGGCGTGTGTCCTACCGTGTACCAGGCACAGAGGAATCGAGTCGAAACACCCGTATCTTTACTACGTTTGACGTGGCCACTCATCACCCAGATCGCGCGAAGAGAGAAAAAAAAGGGAAGGCACGTGGGCGCGAAAAAAAGGGAAGGCAATTCAGAGGTTGGTTAACGGCTACGCAATTCATATATCTGTCCCTGTGAGTCCTCTACCATAGGAGAAAACAGCTGTTGCAAGTACAAGCACAATGACTACCCCACGCTTTAGGCGTCCCGCCCTGTCCGTCGCTTGGCAATCGGAGTGGATCCGGCATCGGTCTTTCTCTGTTTGCTATGCGCAAGCTTGATTTCGGGTACACTTTTCCGCCAAAGTCGAAAACAATGGTTCTAGTTGTGCTGCACCTATATCCCACCATCATCATTCCAAGCCCCCCCCCCTCCCATGGATTGGTATACCCTTATCCTGTTTTCCCTCCCTCATACAGGTACTGCTCTGTGGACGAACTTCCAGTTCACCTCCCAACAACAGAGTCTTCCAGATCCACCAACAGGAGCGCAAGCTCATGATATTTCACACACAGAAAACGTGCCGTCCTCGATCCCGGCACCAACGATTGATACCATATGCGTAAGGGATATCCTACTAGGTGGGTGCACCAACCTTACAGGAAGCGACCTTTCGTACCGTGAAACCATATCGTTCTGTACGTCGACGACATTTTGGACAACCCCCCGTACATTGTCGGAGGGGTGGTTACCAAAGTCTTCGTCTTTATGGCCGTAGCTTGGCATTCACCACACCACCAATGCAGACACTAGGTCAGCAGAAGCGACGATTTGGGAAGATGATACTACGAGTAGGAATACACGCTCATGGCGTAGAATCCTCCGCACACTTGATCTGAATCCCCCGGGCAATCATAGTCGCAGGCAGTCGACTCCCCGTGCTGCAAGAGGTCCGTTGAACTCCCACCGCAGCAGCATTGCAAGAGTAGATTCATGGCAGACAGATATGGAGAAAGTACGAATGGAACATTGTGCGTGCTGCTAGCTGCTAGTGTTCATTCCAATCGTTGTTCGGTTGTATCATCTCCTGCACCGAGGTATCCTGTATGGCTTTGTTACCTACGGCAGTACTGGTAGTGTGTTGGGTGATTGACACATCTGAAGAGCAGATCAGCGTACACGTGAAGGGTGGGAAGGTGGGGTCAGCGGCCGCCGACAATCGGATATTTAATCACCAGCGTTTGAATATTTGTCCCCATCGTCTGCTCGACAAGGCTACGTCATTTGGGTACGGACCCAGGGGATTAGACCATATGGTATCTCGGTCCTGTCACACCCGCCTACATGACCAGACCTTCGTCACGATCGCAGCAACGCAACTTGCTTGTTAGCGTGGTCGTTTCGCAAGGAACCACCTCTCACCTCCCTCCCGTACTGCATGCCGAAGTACGCGTTTCCGGTACACTCGGCCTCGCACATCTGCAAAACCAACCGATATCAAAGACACAACATCAAGGGGGAAGAGCAGAAATTTCTACCGACCTCGAGATGGAAGCGGTCACTGCTGAAGCTTCAAGAACAAGTGTTCGATATCGAAACGACGTTGAGTTTACTAGATACCGAAAGAGGTAGGTACGCGGATCTGTTGAGCATTCGGTAGATCAGGAGGATTGGTCGTGTTGTATCAAATGTTCAACACCGCAAGAGAACAAAAAAAAGGAATCCTGTCATCGAGGAACCGATCAGTATGACACCGACAACCTCCCTCGCACTTCCTTGGTCATGGAAGAACTGTCAGTCAGCGCGAGTTCCATGATGCGTGCGTCCGACTCGTCTTGGTAGCATCATACGAACGTTGATGTTGTAGGCGCGTCGTCACCCGTGTAAAGGTAGACATTGGCTGCGTCAAACCCACCGCACGTTTGGTCAGCGTTCCCTGCGCAGGCGTAGGTGCAGTCGGTGGACTCCGCGTGCGAAGTGTAGTCCGCACCAGCCGAACCGCACCATCACTGTGTGTGTATTTCAGGTAGAGGCAACACAGACAGACAGACAGACGGACAGGACGTTTGGTCGAGGCGAAAAAAGGTCGGCCATGCCGCCGACAGTCTGACCTCTAGAACCGTGGATACTCTTCGTAGGTTTTTTGTTTGAGATTTCGGAAATAACGTTTGCGGGCGTCCTGTCTAAGAAAAACCACAGCGATGTATGATGCATGTTCGATAGGGCGTATTGCCTAAAAGAAAATACATCAGCATTACATTCTGAACGATTGTATCCGCGATCGCATTTGTCAGCACCTCTGCTTCCTCCAAGGTCTTGATATAACCACCCAGCCACTATTCCTACGGCAGTCTTTAAACGAATGCCCGCCCGACGGTGGCTTGCCTCCTAGATGTAGTAGATGTAGATTCTGCCGTAGACACTCTTGTCCACGAGCACGTTGAGATGGGAGGGTTGCTTGTTATTGCAGAAGCGGGTCTGCTACAGGTCTGAGGTGAGGCGGATTGCCCTCAACCTGGGGGCACGCAGATAGCTAAGTCCCGATGGGGTACGTCCTAAGAGGGTATACCTCCTGACGTCCTCCATATTAATCTAGACCGACTGTGTACCCTATCTGTGCCATACAGCAACACTCCTTAACACTAGCCCACCCTGAAGATCATCTACACAGATTCTATACTCAAATCCTAAGGCTACTAAAAGCTGATGATTTAGAATCATGAATCGAAAGATATGACTGTTCACAAGTGTATCCAAAGGAAAGAGGAGCTGTAGGAATATCCCGACTCGACCCCCCACACCACCATTGAGACAAAAGGTGATTCCGATGACGCGGAAACACAGCTAGTGGCGACTCAATGATAAGGTTATACCCATGGAGGGATATAGCTAGGCAAGATGTGCTGCAAAGCACCATGTTTTAACACAAAAAACAAAATAAATCAATATCAACGCCACACACCACTCTATTTCGCGCGCAAGCGCGTATTACGACTGGAGGAATGAGGGTGGCGACACAAGAGAGTCCAGAAT